TTGTTGTTGTTGTTGTTGTAGGAACACTAAGGCTGTTATTCATGTAGGCTCCTGTTTGATACACCTCCCGTGAAAAGATGACAAAAGCTCCCGTCGTAAGATGACAAAAGCTCGAATCTTGAGGATACTACTGGAGCCCTGAATGGAAGAGCGTGTGTGATCATCCTTTACCTCAGCCTTAAATTTCCTAAACTTCTAAAGAAACCAACGCACCATTGTTGTCGTGAGTTGCAGTTGCACCTGATAGCCAAGACGCGAACTTTACTACTGTTTTAAGGACCAGAAAGCACAAAGTCACCACTACTTCCTGTTGCAATCAAAGGCTATGCCTTGGAGTTCCAGTTGATGGGTCCGGGCGGCTGCGTCGACGCTCGCTCGGCATTTTTGTAAGGTCAACAAATCGAGCCAAAGAGCCTAAAACCAAATCCTCAAGCCCTACACCCCTAAGCCCCTAAACCCCTAAACCCGAACCCCTAAACCCCACACCTCGAGAGCCAGGGTCTCTGAAGTCCCCGTCTGCCCCTATCTCCAACCTCAGCAAACTTCAGCGCATCACTGCCGTCGGCAGTTCTAATAGGGGCCTTAATGCTTACCTATACTATTTTCGGGGGGCTTCTTATTATAATTATAGTACAACATGCACCAAAACCCTATTCTAATCATTAAGGCCCCTGCATTCGTCAACTATCTGGGGGTGTCAAGTCACCGGCAAGCAGGCCTCAAAGCGCCCCAAGCAAGACCCTCGTAACGGTTGAGGGTTTAGGGTTTAGGGTTTAGGTAAGGTTGTACGGTTCAGGGTTTAGGGTTATTCGGGTCTGGCTTTCTGAGCTCCAAATCTGCAAAAGGGTAGTTCTCTAAATTAGGGTCCCCCTTTAGGTCCCCGTTATAGTGCGGCACCCTTATAAAAAGAATCATCTAAAAGAGACACTAATTTGGATAACTTCCCAAAATGCAGCACGGAAGGATTTGGGCAGGCGTGGTATAGTAGGAAGCCTACGGCCTACATAGGGACGACAAGAGGACATGATTGCTATGTTGACTTCCCTTGTGTTATGAGTTCTGCTTCGGTGGTCTAGGGTTTGTTCCGTTGGCCCTAAACCCTAAACCGCTTTGGCGATGAAGGTTTAGAGCAGTTAAGGTGTAGGATGGAAGGACGCCTTGGGCTTTTGAGGGGGTTTAGGGTTTAGGGTTTAGAGGGTTTAGGGTCTAGGGTATTTCGGGTTTAGGGGGTTTACGGTTTTTAGGGTTTAGGGGGTTTAGGGTTTAGGGCTGAAGCCCTTAACCCTAAAACCCTAAAGCCTAAACCCTTCATGTCGTAGCGAACCTCTACAGCTGAAACCCCTGACGTAAGCCCCCGTTGGGGTTTAGGGTCTAGGGTCTAGGGAGGCCTAGCACAAATACAACGAACAACGATAACATGTTGTATCTAGCAACATGTTACAACCCTTGCCCGCAACATCCAGCCGAAACCCTAACCCCAAAGCCTCAATTACACACCGAACAAAAGAACTGCAAGAAACCTGTAGCCACCTTGCAGTTCTTTCGAAACATGTTTCAGAACTCCATAGACGACGATAAAAGTCAAAAGAATCCTAGGCCCTAAACCCTAAACCCTAAACCCTAAACCCTAAACACTAAACCTTGCATACAAGCTTGGTAAATCCAGTAATTCCTGAATCCCCAGATCCCCTTCAAGGAACCCTCATAGGACATTTTAGGGGAGCCCCTGTCAGACCCTGCAAGCCCTGTTTCTGGTAGGTTCCCTAAACCCTGAAGCCTAACCCCTAAAACAACAAAAGAAGCTCAAACCCTAAACCCTAAA